GCTTGTTATTATTTTTTAATTTATTCGTACACTTATTAACACAACTTGATATTATCTTGATACTAATATATATTTGATAATAGTTATTTATGTAAATTTTATTGAAATTTTGTAACACTATTATTTTGCCATAATAAGCAACTAGTTTGTTACGTTATTAATTATGTTTATTTTTTTCTATATTCTCAATTAAGAATGATATAAGAACGATTATAATATTAACTATCTTTTTTATATTTATTGCAACACCGAAACGTCTCTTTAAGGCTCACGAAGTATTCATTACGCGGCACGTTTACAACTCCTAGCTTCGTAATAAGTATATCAATAAATAACGCACCCATCTCTTTCGTAGTATATATGATGACTCGAACTCTCGCTATAATGAACGCTTTAGTATATATACGTACATATATATTTAGAAATATCTTAGAAACTTAAAGAACGTAAATTACCATTGGTCGTATTAGTCACGTTACGCGAGAAGATTGCGATGCACTCTACACGTGCACGGAAAAACCGTATATTTATATGGTGCAGTGCTTGCACCTGTGCCTAAATAAACATTTAACGTTATAAATGTTTGTCGCAACAGCTGTTATAATAAAACTTGCTATTTGATAGTGATAAATTCAAGGAATATTGAACTTCAAACATATAAAAAATCTTAAATTAATTTAGAATAATATCCAATTTTAAAGAATTTTATAACTCAGAAATATTTTAAAAGTCTTAAATACACTAAATACATATTTATAATATTTATATGATATTTATATATAATAATTTATATGTGTGTGTGTGTGTGTGTGTGTATATATATATATATATGTGTATATATATATATATATATATATTTCCTTTATGACGCTTCTTTTATATTATTTCAATCTTCATTTCTACTTTTCATTTTATATAAAGATATAATGACAATTTCATATTTAAAAATTTTGAATATTTTAAATATTTATGCATTTCTAAAAAACTTTAAGACTTTTAATAATTTCTAAAGAAAATTATAATTTTTTTTAGGATTTTTCAAAATTTTTCAGAATTTTTTGATAAAATATTATTTTGAAGTAATCTAAAATTTTATTGATTAAATTATTTGAAACTTAAAAAAAGAATTAAACATTTATAAATACAGTAAGAAATTTGCAACATTAATTCAAATGTTCCTTGAGTTTTGATATGAAAATCTATCATAAACTTTTCCTTGCAATACGCTTGATAAGAACGTGAAAATTATGCAACGATGAAATTACATAAGACAATCTAGTTTTATCTATCAACTGTTAATTAAAAAATAAAAATAAATTAATAATAAATCTAGAATATATTATATATTAAATATATAAAAAGTTTTGACTTGTTTTGTCAGCGAATACAATTATGTGAGAACAGAAATGTTTTCTGTTGGATAGAATCGTTTATTAATAATCACTCATTTTCAAACACTTATTTTTACTCTATGCTCTAATAGACAAATATACTAATAAAAATAAAATTAAAATAAAGAATTATTATAATTTTGGTGTTATTTTGTCGTTATTTCGGCATTGCACAATTCGCGGCAAAGAAAGCCACGAAAAAATGGCATACTAAGTCAAAGTATTGCGAGAATAGGAAGATTATAGTATATACTTATTGTTTATCATGCAATAGATATAAAGAAAGTGAAAAAAGTGAAACTGCAGTGATAACGAGAAGTGAATACAAATATAAGCGTTACAAAAAATTTATTCGAATAAATATGTGCAGCTGCAAAATATGTGCAAAAGAAGATAATTCTATCGTTTTTTATTTGTTTTTGCTTCTTTAATTATTTATTAACATTTATAATGATATGTTATTGAACAATTTATAAATATGCATTTATTTAATTGATGCAAATTAAATTACATGCGGAAGCACACTTTTTGTTTTTTCGATTCACGGTTAAAATCAGATGCATATCAGATACGTAAAAAAGATTCGACAATGAAACATTATCTTCAAAGTAATCAAAGAATAATTAACCTAATTGTGTCAAGTAAACTCTTGTGAATATTTTTACGGGAAAATAATGCGGATTTCAAAAAAAACATGATTCATAAATGGTAATTGGTCAGGAAGTTATGCAATATTAAAGTATTGTATGCACCAGAATACTTTATCTTAGATCTTTAAAGTTCTTAGATCTTTACGATAATTCCATACGATAATCCATCCATGCGAATTTACACCTACATACGTAACATAATTGAATTATTAATTTTTACTAATTATTGAGTCCATTTGCTATTGTATATCATAACATAAAATTATATTAAAATTATATTATGTATATACATAATTATATTATGTATATAAAATATAATGTACGTAAAATATAATAAATAAAATTTATGTGTATGTGTATAAACGATAAGTCTGACAAGTATATTTTTTAATAAGTTGATTTCTCGCAAATCACATTATCTCTCTTGCTCGAATTGCAAGGAAAATGTGATTTGACAGGTTGAGCTTCAACGGTGAATGGACCGCCGTTTTACCGTCATATTTTAAAAGACAGTACTTGTGGCAGACCGACCGTAAATATCGATCGTCTGAGCGTTCCTTAATTGAAAATGAAGCCTTGAGGATTGACGCGCGGCCGTCACGCGCGTAGTCACCGCGAGAGAATATAATAATAATAACGCCTGGAAGGAGTGAAACGCGGATCTTGGACCTTTAGAAATTCGCCGCGACGTGAACTCGACAACTATTCGATAAATGGCGATGCAGGCGAGGCCTGCAACGACGCTCGCCCGATAATCGATTGAACATTTGTTCGGCAGACTGGAAGTGCCCCGATACTCGGAGAAGAGGCAAAAGTGGCGCGCGCACGAACGAACGACGTTTCCCCGTCACGGAAGCGGAAAGTGGCACCGATTTGTACGGATCGACAAGTACATCGTCTTCGCGACGAACGAGACATCGCATCTCGCGAAACATCCACGCGTTGAAAAAGACTTTCCCCCGCGACTTCGCCCGTTCCAAACTTGCTCTCCACGCGCGCGAGATTAGCGTTCTCCATTTTTAAGCGTGAAACGCCTTGTGCAAAGTGACGCTACTATTTCATATGTACTGATTACGTGTCATGTAAACGTAGCGATTCTGAATAAGCAAAATATGTGCTAATTTTCAGTCGAGAATAGCATAATATTGTCACGTGAATGTTTGGATTACATAATACATATACCTAAGACATATTATTTTCTTTTTAAATATTATAAGACGATAGGTAAATATTAATATTCAAAAAAATTTTCTTTATTTCAGATGTAACATTGTTAAATATATATATACAATAATTTCTGCGTTAAACAACGACATAATGACATAAAGTCGTTGCATTCTTAAAAAATTTTTTATTATTTACCGAATTATTATTTTTATTTGGGATCACAGGTGATTTTTTTCCACGGTGAAATTCACAGTATATTGATGCTTTCTGTGCACTTTCGTATCTCTAAAGTGCCTCCACGTGACTCCAATTAGTCCTCGAATGAATAAGCGAGCGTTCTCAGGGAAGGATCTCTAACAGATTCCTTATCTTCGCGCGGATATATGATACATCACGAGTCTCGTGCAATCAGCAATCGTGCAGTCCCGCGATGCCGTAATATCGTAATAAATCACGTATCGTTTTTCCTTAAATAAAAAATACCTACCGGTTTTACAAGAAGCAATGCGGCGACGATGCCGCAATTTCTTTAATTTCCGCCGTAAGCACGCAAATCGCCGTCTGATACGCAAATCGTAGATGCATAAGTAATCGGTAATATTCTTGTGAGGTTCAATCGATTTTATTCCACGTGGATATCCCGCCTCATTAATTTCGAAATGTTTTCACTCGGAAACGATTGGCGAATGATGCGTGAAAATACATTCGTCTAGCGGCTGTGCACATTTTCAATTGCACCGAACGAACGTATCTGAACGGAGAAATAATACAATACGGAGAATTCTGAGATTAGTCGAATCCTTTTATAATTATCAGCACGAATATTCAGTAATTGTTACTAATTATTATTAGTGTAAATAATACAGTCGATCCGCTTTGTATAATTAGCATAATTCTCATACGTAATTAAAACACAATCGATTTTGCAGCTGCGATTTATACACGAACAAAGACTTTTAAAACTCTAATAATAAACTGTGCTATCAAATCGTATCTCAACAAATCAGAAAATCTGTTGCATTTTCGAGACACGAAATATAAAATTACGAGTACCTATAGTTGAATAACATAAATTATATTCAGATAGTTATATAATTGTTTGACCAACAAACATTGTTCTAACTTTTATTTGAAGCAATATGCGGCTTACTTATACGAGTCTCTGTCTTGCTTTGAAAAAATTATCTGTTAATATTAATATTCGCACCCTGCTCATTAATACGCGACTGGACGTAAATGTACTTTCGTTACACGTTACAAGACACGGTTTCTCCGTTCGCAAAGATCGAGTGAGAGTCTTATGTATAGTCGGACATACATGTGTTTGAATATCCGAGCGCGCTCGAATGGATTGCAGGAAACTTTCGTAATTACTAATACACGAACGCGAATAATGGCGTCCAATGGTAATTATCGTCGTCATGCGAGCGTCGTGCACCACAGATTTTGTCACGGATAAGAATGCTGCCCGTCGTGTTTATCATTTTATTGGCAAATTTCATTCCTGGACGAGATCTCCTTGAGTAATGAAAGGTTCCCCGCTGCAACTTTGATACACTTACATATTCTATATTGAATTAATATACATACAAAGTAATTAATGCGTGCTATTTTATTAAAAAAGTGCTATAAATATTTAATAGAAAACATATACATATTAATATTTACACATGTTTTCCATTATTTATAATATTCACTAATGTATGTAATTAATCATTACAGTTTTTCACTCTCAATTTATTTACAAAACTGTATGTCATATTTTATCGAAACACAAAATAAATCGTTTCTTTTTTTATAAAAAATTTAATTATACATTGCATGATTCATCTTTGAAATATTTCTTAATATGTTTGGTTTTCCACTAAATTACTTAATTGATTAACTATTATTAACTTGACGAATTAAGCTAACTGACAAATTAAAGCTATATAATTTTCATAGACATAAATTTTTAGTGAACGTGATTTATAGACATTATTTGATATGATTTTATTTTATATTTCTGTAAATTATATAATATTTACACACTCCTTATAGATGTATATAAAAACTTACAAAAATATTCTAAGACCATGCGTCCACGAAAATTACGTAAGGGCAAGTCAATTAACCAGAATGTGGATGTTTTTCGGCCACGGATCAATGAAGCTGTGGACTTGCGTATTTTTCGCCACCGTGCGATTAAAACCGGGCGCGTGCGGAACAAATTGGCTGGGAAGCCGGGTATTAATGCACCAACGTGGAACATATATCTCTTTTGCTTTTAAAGAACCATGACCGAATTGCATGGAAATGAAAGCGGTGGCGGCACCCCGCCATTGATTCGTGACCCCGTATCATTTCCTTACTCTTTCTCTATCACATTTACATATAAATATTACTTATGTTCGAGTCGCACTGATTACACGGAGCGTACAATTTCAACGCGGATCGGCCTGGATCGGGCAAAGACTGTTCGCCCGAAAACGGTTACTTAATACTTAATTAAATCGCCATCGCGTCGCAATAAATAACTTACTGGTCGGCACGAATCGCTCTTAATCATGTCTCTTAATCATTCTCAGTGGATCCAGCGATGCTCGCGCCGGACTCACCTCTATCTTACCTGGTCTTGTTTCATAAGCGGATATATCTCGACTGTAAGGCACGAAGCTATTCAAGTCCCGCTCGCTTTGTTCTAGGATCGCACTATCAAGAGAGCACGGTGTTTTCCGGCTGTTACTAATTATACACGCCTGAGCGTTACCGCCACGCGGAGGCGCGAATACCCGTAGTAATGCACCATAAAATACGACTTGTACTTTCGTAGACTTCATTACGCGGCTAACGGACGTTCTCGTTGCTCGTATTATTATGCTCGGGATTACCGTGTTCGGTATCGGTATCGAGACTAAAACTAAGTGCCGTAATATCAATTTCGATATGGCCGATATATTTCGCTGCTAATTATTGATCTCGTTGACATTAGGGTCTTAAAGATGCATCTCGAATGATCCTTAATCCGGAGGAGATAAGAGAACACAAGTCTCGTTTATTGCGCTATTTCGCTAAAACTTTCACCTCTTGCGTTAAAATATTTTGTATACGATCTTTGGGAGGAAACTTGATATCTTCTGATGAGAAAAAGAAGCTCTGCTTATCGTGTAATCGCACGTATTTGTACGTCGCTCTAATAAAGCTCTCTTTTATCCTGCGAATCTTACGTAATTTGGCAAAGTTCATGAGAGAAGTAGGCGTACTCCCACGCCGCCAATCATAGAGGAGAGACCATTGTTAAATATAAAGAAAAAGAACCATTTCAGACTCATCTTTCCTTCGACGGACACGCACTGCCACGTAACGTTTCATCTACATCCACAAATTCTAGTTGAAGTCTGCGAACCGTAACTGTCCGAAACATCCTTGACCTCCATTTTCTTCGAGTTGTCATCTTCTTTTCAGTCCCTCGGTTACCGAATCTTTAGTAATAGAAGTAGGTGAAATATCCTGAAACAAATAAAGACTCGTTCTCAAACTCCGAACATTTTTAAATTGACGAGATGATAAATTATTTTACAAGATTTTATTTTTTGACGATGGATTATTTAAAAAAATTAAACATGCTAGATTTTCTCTTCATCAATTTATCATGTGCGGGCGATATTTAACACTGAATATTAAAATGCTCGTAAATCACGCACTTTAAATTTACGCATATAAGCGTTATTCCATCTATCTCTGTTGCTCCTACAGAATCGTAGGTAAACGAAGCACGGAAAATTAATTATAATATTTCCAGATTTCCGAGGTGTTTAACGCCAGCAGATTCCGGCAGATTCTTCATCATTATTGGAAATCGTAGTAAAATCACTCTCTTGATTTCTCCCGCTCAACTAAATTTAGATCTTCTTTTTTTTTATTCTCCATATTTTCCCCACCGTTTTCATTCTGTTTTTCATTCTTCTTATACTATCATTTGACGACAACTTCTGAGAACCCTCCCCGGATTCATCAGCGCGAGTTCCGTGTAATGATCTGTGTGATTTCCATCTGCTATTCCGCCGTCAAAAGTATCGCTCGGAACGTGTTAACATTCGGAACACCTGAAGGTCGCTAATGAGTAGCGAGGGTGATACCACTTCAAAGCTGCTAATTACAAGACCCTCGTCACCTTGTTCTACCCGTCGGAGCTGGCGGGCTGAACTGACCTCATCCCCTTCGCCTTCCATCCTTTGATTAGTAAGTGCTCGCTTTTCCGGTCCCCTAATGCTCTCTGTCGCTTCTCCCTCACGCTTTCGCATGAAAGTACACGTGTGCGTTGGCAAAATCGTACGCGGTGTCGATAATAAAGTCGACCGCGGAACGAACGGGGGATCCAAATGGAAGCCATTAAGGGGCCGAAAGGATTCCGTCCCCGTTTCGATTATAATCAATTTAAATGCGAGAACGTCCTGATGACGTACGACAACGTCAAAAAATAATTGTCAATAAATGGCGGGCCAGGTCTGGCTTGAAAATAATTCGAACGATTGATCGCAACGTATCGTTAATGCTTAAAGATTAACGCTTCGTCTTTTGGAATGTTCAATTAATTTTATCAAATATTTTATCAAACGCTACATACGTGCATAATTTATGATTATTTTATACTGAATAATTTTGTTAAAAATTGAATGTATCGTTGTGTTGTCGAAATTATATGGATACGATCTGCAGCTGGTTAGTCAAATGTATTGGAACACTTTATATCGAGTCATTAAAAACTTCTTCCAGGCATCTCCATGCGAACGTCTTCTCATTCAGGTTTCAAATTAATGTCCCGTGAAAAAAGTATTTAACGGAGATATCGTTAAGTTAGGCGAGTTCGTTTCCACGGGGAATACCGACGACGAGTTTCGGGGAAAATTCGTTTTTCACGCCCTCCTCCTTTCAACCCCAGATAAATTTCCGTCAAGGACGTCCGGAGGGGTCAACAGTTTTTGCGTGTTGCGTAATTAAATGCGGATCGTCGGGTTTAATGACTATCAAGGGGAACGAATGGCCGTTTTGACCCCGAATGTTACCATCTTCAGCGACGTATTATATTTGTTCAGCCGCATCAAGATTCACGATTCGGCTCGTTATCGGTATGAGATACGATCGTTCGTAATTGACAAATTGCGGATGAAGACTGTACCCGTACGCACCTCCTTATCGCGAGTGCTTATTTCTCATTTCAGAAATTTAAAGATTTCGAAGGAAAAACAATTACGAAAATATTATTTAACGAACGGAAGTGATTCTCGCGCGCGGGTTGCGTCAATTTTCGGCTTTTTCGGCTTTATCAATCCGATTAGCGCTAAAACGTGTCTCGCGCGGCTCAGCAATTTTATTTCCTGCCGGAGAATTAAATTACACTTTGTACTCATTATCTGCGCTGGTTAATCTCCAGAATTGTCCCGATAAAGCAGCCGCGTTTCCCCGAGCCACCAACCCTTGGGGGTCTTAGTTTCGAGCTTAACGTACCTCCTTCTCAATCTCCTCAACGCACCGCCACGTTAATCACGGTACGGCTATCCGAGATTTATGTTTTCTCTCCCGTGTCGAGTTGCGCGCATTAACGAGTGCAAAACGTTATAAAGTGCGAGATGTACAAGGCTTTCCCCCGATATCAGCGGCGCGTGTTTCTCCACAGGGAGAATTTATTCGCCCGCCATTCACTTCTTTTGCGTCGTACGCGAGTTTTAATACCGTTACCGCTTGTGCCTTTCTTCCTCTCCCCGCTATCTTTTATAGAGTTATATAAAATATAACTCCGCGGCAGCGTTACAGAATATTTTGTTCGCAGAAGTACAGAATTTTTTTATTCGATCGCATACATTTTCCCGATTATGCTCGCGCAACGAATATTAACATAGAAAAAAATTTATATCCGGCAAAAGAGCGATTTACGAATCTTTGTTCTTCTTTGAATCAATCCGAGTGATTTTCATCCAGACTGTTATTTGTCCAACGGTTACATGTATGGAAACAAAGCTTTATTGCATCGAGCATGATATTGCATCAACGCATTTTCACGCGTACGCGATCACGTCTTCTTTCTACCGTTTCTTCTACTGAATTTCACAAAACACGAATTACGCAATCAAAAGCTTCTTCCGTTGATTACAAGCTTGATGACACTTGACATTTTTGGACGGCATTGATCTTCCCGGAGAGACAACCGATAACGCACTAAAACCGCGATCTGCCGTCGTTCTTCTCGTGAAAGGCGTCGCAACATCTGGCTTTTGTGGCGGAGAGAAACGTGATTTTACGATTACTGTTATAACACCGAATTCGGCTCCTCCAATCATTTTGTCACTCTCCAATAAATATTCCTTGACGCGGGAGATTCTCCAAATGATGTTGCACGAACGTCTTATATAATTCCTCCATTTGCCAAGAGTACTTCATTTTTATGTCTACCACATAATCTCAACAAACTTTCGCCTGTATTTAAAAAAAATATCTCGAATAAATTGAAAAATTCGCGATACGAATCGAGAACGAGTGAAAATGCGAATGATTCACGCGAGGGTCGAGAGGGAAAAAGTTGATCGAACTTGACCGCGTGCGACCGTCTCGTTCCTCGGTCAGAGGCGAGATCGAGGGAGCGTTGATCCTCGTCTCTCTCTGTCTTCGTCGCTCTTCCGGTGACTGGCCAAAAAGGCAACCTTGTCGCCTTGACGGCCTCGTAACACCTGTTACGCACAATGGAGTAACTTAAGTAAGGTTACGCGTAAAACGAGTTTGCGGGCCGCCACGAGGCCACGAGAGGCCTCGAATCGCTCGAAATCGCTTTCACCGAATCGCCGCGGACGCCCGCGTGCTCCAAGGCTGAAGATCCCCCGCGCGAGGAAACCGGTATCCAGCTGCGCTCGCCGGTTTCGCGGAAGAAGGAAGTACAAAGGTGTTCCATCTCCAGTCTTCCATCGCTCGTCGCAGCAGCGATCCCTCTTTCTACACAGCTCCTCTACATGGCTATATCTCCTTCTCTCATTACGTCTCGTTATGCCGCTTGATGAGTCCACCGTACGCGGGCCGTAGCGCAGGTGCGAAGAACGGCGCGAGAAATGAAAGCCGAGCGTGCGCTTAAATTACCGGAAGAGACGCGTTGCCCCCCCCCTCCCCCCGCCGCGTGTATTACGTCGCGGAAATCGAGGGGATCCGATTACGCAAGGAGACCCACGTCGTCTCACGATTCTAATGGTACGTTTTGGGCGTGAATCGATTTTACGCATTTAGAACTCGATCTCGCTTTCTTCGATTTTCGCTTTGGGTAAATCGGGTGATTCTAACCGGCGGTTCTAAACCGGTAAGTGGACCTGAGCGGCGCTGACAAGGTTAATAAGATAACGATCTGATGAAAGTCTGTATTATATCGAAAAAAAAAAAAGAAAATGATTCGTGTTTATCTTCGTGTAATTACGGATAAAAAGGAGATTAGGATAGGTAAAAATGTTTATTGAACGTTTATTGCAACATTTTATCGGTATCCAATTATGGCGATATCGCACTGAGAATATTAAATATATTACTTCTATGGACTTACCTTGCACGATGCAGGTGATTACGATATCTATCGGCTAGTGCATTTCTGTCACCCGACATGCTGTAGTGTACATTACCAGGGTTGGGAAGTAACGCATTATTTATTGTTTATTTGTAACGCCGCATCATTATAATTATTTTTTTTTATAACAAACTAGTAACGATGTTACTTTAGTAACTGTAATGTTACATTTTTTTTAAGTAACGGTAACGAATTTGAGTTACTTTTATCGTTACTTTTTATATTTTGACATAATTTTTTAAATTTTATATTCAATATTCAGTCTGCGATCGATTTATAGTCCGATGTTATACTTAAGACTGTTTTAAGAATAATTTATCATAAATCAATCACAAGAATAGATTTTATAAATATAATATCGTCTTTCAAAAATTTGTAAACAGAAAATTGAGGATAAATAGAAGTATTTTAGCTATATTTATGAATTTAATGAAAACCACAGTCTTTTTTATTTGTATTTTGAGTATTTAAAAAAATCTTTAAATTTTTTGTGATCTTGTGAATTTAAGATAAAAAGTTTGATTATTTTCAAAGAGATAGTTTAACAAAAAATATGAGAAAAATTAATTTTTTAATCTAAATTTCACTTTAAAAAAGTAACGGAGAAAATAACAACTCGTTCCTTTTTACGTAACGATAACAATAATGAATTACTTTTCAGAATCAGTAACTGGTAATGATAACTAGTTACTTTTTTGGCTCAGTAACGAGAAACTTAACTTTTACTTTTAAGTTACTTTTAAAAAGTAACTTTCCCAACCCTGCACTTAATACTTAATAGCTAAAAGACCCGCGTACCATGTATTAGTATCGCGTCTCGTTTGCCGCGATTTGCGATTCCCGAATTGATCGTCCAATTCGAAGGAAATCACGATAGAGACGAGACAAGCGAGACGTCGAGAGTTAAGTCTTACAACATGCTCGTGATCGTGGCCGTCCATTGTAATGTTATTTCAACGTACAACTCTTCCGGGTGTGTGTGTAATGAGAAGAGCTGATTGTCGTCCTCGATGTGAACGACAGGATACCATTAGCACACTCGCAAAACGACGTATCCGCCGAGATTCAAGGATCGAAGAACCTCGGGTAGGTAAGACTAAGTCAATCTTTGTGAGAACATAACGACAGAGGTAACAGGGGAGAAATTTTTTACAATTTGTTAGTTCTTGAAGTCGTGTATAGCTTCGAGAACCACTAAAGAATTCAATCTTTAATAAGCCAATTTTACACAATATGAGAGGGGATTGAAATTGGGACATTTATGCGTACGTCGGATTTGCGACGATTGTTTGCTGAGGTATTTTTTTTTTATTAACTTACAGTGCATTTGTATATTATATAACGCTATTAACAATTATAAATAGTGTTCGAACAGTCGCGCAATTTATAATAAAAAATCATATCTTATCAAATCATTTTTTAACTTAATATACTGCATTTAATTACATTATAAATTGTAATGTTTTTTTAAAATTTAATATCGCATTAAATTATTCTTTATATAATATAAATATTAACACTTTGTATTTGATGACAAGTCAGTAACATTATCGCGAATATACGCACAGTAATTTCTTTTTATAAAAAAAACCTGCATTATTAATGTGCTCTTCACTCATTGTAATTTATAACTTAGGACATATCATCACATATCTCTTTTCACATAACGTCATTACTGTATTTAAAACATTAATATACATCAGAGAGTTTCGCATGACTTTTCGAACACTTCATAAAACAATAAACATCATAATTCTGCACATGCACAACGCGCATGCACAACGCTCATGCACCCTTGATGTGGAATTAAAGTTTAGGAAGTTCGAGAAATGTATGTATATCGTAGAG